AGCCATGGGGAAGAAGGGTGGGTGCGGCTGCATTTATAGCCCAGACTTAACTGAGGCAGGCACTGTAAGGAAACCACCTCAGTTAATCGCCTGTTAACCGAGGCGGTTGCATTAGACCAAACACCTTGGTTAATAAACATTAACCGAGGCGGTTGCTTATAACAACCGCCTCGGTTAATCCGCATTAACCGTGGCAGTTTCTTTACAGCGCCCGCCTTGGTTAAGGGTTGCTGGCTTGGTTGCCCTGCCTCGAATAACCGAGGCGGGCAACCAGGCCAACCGCCTCGGAGCTCCATTTCGAAATGATGTGCATAAGATTTTGTGTAGTAGTGACTCCAATTTACTAAGATATGAATATGGAAAGATGACTTTGCTTTAGAGTTGTTCCACACTTGTCAACTGCACAAGGATATGTGTTAGCCAATGCCACATATTCACCTATATAAGGAATGTTTTGGAATGACTTTATGTTAGCCATGTATCTTAAGATGCTATGCTCATGCTTATTTTAACTCTAACCTTTACTCGAGGACGAACAAAGAGCTAAGTGTGGGGGGTTATAGAGGACAAATAGGGCTGTCACCACCTGTCGCCTACCCCTACAACCCATGGATTATGCACGTATTTGATGGTGTACACTAGTCTAAGTGCCACACTTAGACTATTGGACACTACTCTCATCCTCCCAGAAAGAAGAAGAGCAAACCCAAAAGCACACCAAACCAACGCTATAGCAGGATCAAATCATAACTAGGTAGTTGCATAGGTCAAACAAATAATCTTTGTAACCAACATACTAATAATATCAACCTAGTTCTTGAGCGATGAACATATATGAACACGATCATACTAATAGATGAACGATGAACAAACTTGAGCTAGTTCATACTAGAATGAATAACTAGCATGAGCAAGATCATAGTAAGTACATGTTCTAGCATGAACATGATCATAAGAACAATGAACCAATAGGATCCAAGTAGCATGAACATGATGAACATAGCACAAATAAGATGAATATTCCATTGATATTTGAAGAGTATTACAAGATGAACAAAGATTCTTCTAGAGAGCTAGACTCACTAAGAACACCTTTTGATCTAGTTGAGCTCTATAGGACTAATTCTCCACTAAGATCTTGGAAACTAATGTTACAAGTGTGAGATTTGTAGCTCTTATGTGTGGTGTCAAATATAGGGGGTTCACTATGCTTTTATAGGTGTGAATGACCCTTAAGGTGGTGCACCGAAGATCACACCGAGGGGGGATCCTAGGGATCAGCTGAACCACCCTATCCCCCTAGGATGGATCGATCCCTAGGAAGGAGAGGCGGTGCATCCAATGGATGATCTTGGTCCTGGTAGGCGGTGTGAAGATCTTGGAGGCGGTTTGGCTTGATTGGCCTTGATTGAGGGTCGACTGACCCCCTGATTGGGCCAGGATCGGTTGATCATAGTCTAGGCCCATCCTTTTGTGTGTTGGCCCACCAAGCCATTTTGTGTTATCTTCCCCGTGTTCCTCTGATTTTTGGGCCAAATTGGAGTGGAGTTGGCCTTTTGGATCATTGTATGTATGTTGATGATTTGTCGGATGATAATTGGATTTTGAACTTCTTCACCATATTTCATGTGCGTTTTTCATGAAAATCAAAGTTACATATAACTAAAATTCTCCAAGTACATGTGCAAATATGTTATTTAAAACTAAATATGCATGTTAGTGATGCTAGTTCTTTATTTCTGAGATAATTGACTGTCAAATTTGACATTTAGTGACTGTCAACAGGCATGTGATATGAGCATGGGCATTCGAATTAGTGGTACAGTGGCGCGCAGCACGCGAGCACGAGTACGAGTGACCAATCTGTCATGCGAGGCTAATGCGGGTGTCACAAGTTGATGATAGAGTGGCCCATGTGAGGCAAGCTATGGCCACGGTGCTACCGAGCATGGCTAAGGAGGGGGCCAGCACTGGCAGGGGGTGAGCGGCAAAGTGGCGGGTGAGAGGCAACCTGTAGCGGTGGGATGGCGAACACGCGTGGGATGAGCTACGATATGTGGATGGCGAGCAGTGGCACTAGAAGACGAGCGAAAACCAAGTGGGACGACGTTGCAAGTCTATTGGGAAGGAATAAAAGTTCCAAGTTTGGTTTTGGTAATTTAGTGCTAACTAGTGGACTAATTCTTTCATGGAGATATTTAAGCTAGGATCCACAAGATGGTGTTGAGCAAGGTGGTGACCATGATGGAGATAATGTAGTCCATAAGTGCAAGTGCTCAACATGGTGATGTTGAAGGTGAAAATGATGGAGAATGAATGATAAGGATGAGCAGAAGCCCGAAGGCAAAGGTATAACTTGTTAGAATTTGATATCCCTAGTTATGCGTAGCAGCCCTCGGATCTTTGAAAGGATATTGCAAGTATGACCCACCTAATATCTGGTGGTCTAGCAGAGGGCACCACCAAAGCTTAGGCTGCTCTGACCGCTCTGGTCAAATCAATCATTTCACTATGTGAGACGACATCATCGGGAACTTCTCATGCTCCTAGGTTCGAGGCAGTAAGATTCAGTAAAGTTTAATAGATCATGGCAATTCTTCTCGTGCCACTGGAGAGAAGGGCACCAGAGAAAAGCCCCCTAACACATGGCGGCGATCAACAATGTTAGAGCATGAGGGAATTAAAAGGGGTTCACCAGAGCTCCGGTGAGGACAACTAGAAGGTTCTGGTGCCCCTAAATTGGTACTGCGTACTTCCTCTGTCCTGAAATATAGTGCATTCTGACATTTGCAATTTGTCCTGAAATATAGTGCATTTGGGTACAAGAAGATAATGTTCACTTGAATAAAAATACGTGATTATTTTGTATAAGAAAAGTAATTCATGTACTTGCCATATTTTGTATAAGGAGACTTAGGCCCTGTTTGGTTGAGCTGTGGCTGTGGGAGAAAGCTGCTGTGGGCTGTGAGCTGTGGAAAAGCTGATGTGGGCTGTGAGCTGTAGAAAAGCTGGAAGTTGTTTGGTTAAACAAGTATAAAATATACCTTTTATCTTTATCTCTCTTGAAACAACTATGGAAGAGCTTTTTATTCCACCAATTTCGAAAAGCAGAAAGCCAAAAGTCAAAAGCAGGGTCAAACCAGCTTTCAAAAATGAACTACGGAAAAGCAGCTGCTTCTGAAAAAGCACCCTCCAAAAACAACCCCTTTGGTTGGGCTTTTAGCTTTTGGGGCCAAAAGCCAAAGCCAAAAGCCCAACCAAACAGGGTCTTAGAGTTCATCCTTTAATCATGCGGAATAGAATCAGATTTCAATAGATTAGGAAGTTAAGTGAGGGGTACATGAGTTTATTGTATTCTCCCTTATTTTGTCCAAGAATAGCCAGAATGTACTATATTTCAGGACAGAGGGGGTAGATGTGTTTAACCGTCGGATTTCTCTAGTGGTGAGCCCCGGAGAAATCCAAAGAGAAAGGGTTACTTGTAGTAGAAAATCGTTGCTTCCACAACGTTTGAAGCCATCGAATTTCTCCGGTGCCACCGAAGAAAGGGCACCAGAATTTAGGTCGTGTAACGACTAGTTTAAACTAGCCATTGATATATTCGTTGGGGACTTTAGTGAAAAGCTTCGGTGCCCCCACTCCAATCAAAGGGCATAATGGCTAGCTCTTGAGTGAATCTATAAACAGAGGGTGTGGCCGATCTATTTCGCTCTCCCATCTGATATCCACACCTATTGGAGCTCAAGAACGAACTCCACTCACATAAGCATACTTAGAGATTGCATCTGAGTGAGATTGGGAGTAATCTAGTTTATTTGCATTGAGAGTTTGCATCTAGTGGCACTAGAGAATCATTAAAGCTATGAGATTCTTATTACTCTTGGTGGTTGCTACCACCTAGATGGCTTGGAGCAGCGGGACTTCATCGAGAACTATGTGGAGATTGTGCAGGGCTCCAGAGGAGGATTTGTAAGGGGCTTTTGTGCTCATCCCATCCAACAAAGGTGAAGAGAAACTCTAGTGGATACCGGGGCTTGTGGAGTGTCTATCTTGAGGGGTAGTTGAGCTTGCAAAGGAGCGACGATCCTAAACTCGCTTCAACTGTGATGTAGGTGGCTAGTAAACCACCAAACCTCGTGAAAATCTGGTATCAAATTTTGTTCCAATGGTTTGCGCCGTCCACACTTGTTCTTTTCTTTTGTGCTTCTCATGCTTGTGTAGTTGATTATCTTTAGCTTGCTTAGTGTAGTTGTTCTTCTTACTAGAGTAGTTATTCGAGTAGCCTGTGCTCCTTGTTGGCTGATAGCTCTAGCAAGTAGCGTAGTTCTTTCAGCTTTTTTCTCACTAGACTTGTGTATGAGTGTTTGCTCGGCTTGCTAGACTAAATGCAAGTAGTATTTAATATGTCTTACCTTTATTACTCATCACTAATTTTTTGCCTAGTTGTGATTGTGTTCTGAAGGATTTTGAATAGGTTATTCACCCTTCCAGCCATCAATCGGTCCTTTCGAGGAGGAAGAAAGAGAAAAATGAGAGAATGACAATGGACCCCATATGTTAGATGGTCCATTCCATATTTTGATGATCTATAAGCATAAAACAGAGACAATGCCATCCCTTCCAACCATATATGGAGTAGGAACCATCCAATCTCTGATTGTTCAAAGCACAAGCTTATATAGGTTATCCTCAATAGCAGAGTTAATTGGCTAGCTCATATGAACTTAAATAAAAGTAAAATTATCTAACATATAAGTATATTAAATATAGACATATAAATCATAGAGAAATATATAGGCTAAACTATTTGTTAAGAGTTAGCTTACTATTTTCTCTTTTTCTTATTAAATAGATATAATATTTTATTAGCTACCTGTTTTAACACTGTTGCTAATCGCATACTAGATCTAGTTGACCCAAAATTTTAACACTATTCCGGCCGGCTCGTGTGGTATCCCAGCGACGGCGACGGCGCCGGCGCTCACCGCTGGGCGCTGGCCATGGCGTCACGTGAGCATCCGAGTCTTCCTACCTATATACTTCCACTAAATCGGCCCTCCCAACCCAAGTCATCTCCTGTTCTCTTGCGCAGTGCTACTCGAGCAGCAGGAGAAGCTGCGGCGGCACGTCGACGAGTGGCGCTTCCGCTCCCGCGCCGCCATCTCCGAACTCAGCTCCGGCTCCGGACCACCATCCCCAACTCCCTCCGTGCCCTCCGGTCCCGTCAGGCTCCGCGTGGCCCCCGCCGACCCCGCGGGGGCTGGCGCCGCGTCCATACTCCTGACCCCCGCGGCGGCCGATGACAACGTTGCGGTCGCCAAGTTCGTCGCCGTGCTGTCGCACTCCTGCATCGAGATATCACGCCTTTCTGATGCGGTATCATCGCTGGAACCCGCCCCCATTCTGTATTGTGAATTTGTGATGCGCGCTACATGGTTTTGGGATGGAACAGTCACATTGCTGAAACCCATTCCTTCATTTCCAACTGTAGTTCATGAACTGTAAATTGATCAACTTGTTAGTAAAGTTGATCAAGTTTTGGGTTTCCCTTGGACGCATTTAGACATTCAGTAAAGTTTAGTGAGAAGTACCTAGGAAATTTTAGCATGCCAGTTCAATTCACATGTGCTCAATGAAGAACAGTGCTGGTCCTGAAAGGATGTACAGCTTTGCCTTGTTATCCTTGTAGTTTAGTAGTTGTTATGGTGGATGTCACTACTTTTGTCATTGCTTGTGCTGTTGTTTTTGGTACAGTGTAACACACTTAACACCTCCATGCACATGCCTATGCATATAACCTGCTCAGTAGTCCGAGGCAAACCTCTTTCTCCTCAACAAAAGATTGTCGGGTTGTGCTTGCTACCTTATCTGTTTTCCTTTTGACTTCTCTAGGCTTCAAAGGGTCTCTACCGGCAACTGCTCCTCTTTGGGCACTGCGCAGGGGGTTCTGGCGAGGCACTTCTGGAGGGGGAGCCACAGAAGATGTTTGCCCACTCAATTCCGTTGTTGCTCGAGCTGTATGAGATTGTCAATGGGCTGATAGTGATTCTTGGGAATCTGCTCCGGCAACTTGATGTGATCTGCTCAGTGCGGGACAAGAATGTTCGACCATTGAACTCATTCAGAAGTTTTGATTTGAGGACAGTATTTGCATTGCTTGGTGAGGGGCTTTCAGTATTCCTATTATTGGATGAAATCTTGAGGCACAACGGCAATGTCAGAAGCCACTTATCATTGTTCTCAAGGTACTAATGTTTGTTTAGTAGTGTAGTAGGTTCATTTAGTTTGAATCATCTAAGGTGATATGTGGACTGTTTACTGTGGATGTAATGCTGAATGCACATCTTCAGGGAAAGTCTAAAACTGTGGTAACAGATCTTTGTGGGATTCATCTGTGACCTACTCGAATAGTGAAAGTGGAGTACCGCAATGTTTAGTGAATTGTGACTTTTTTTTCTCGAAAACGCAGGAGAGCTGCGCTTCATTATATTAAGAAGAAAGAATTGTGACTTAATGGCTAAAATCAGAGAGTGTATTGGAATGTAGAGTAATATGATAAAACATTTTTCTACAAAAAATTATACCTTTGGTAGTATAACATTAATATCAATGACATAGGTCAAATCTATATGCGAACTAATCCAAAAATGCTTCAGCTTTGGGTCAATGTTCAGTCATGAAATTGTGGAGGTTGCTGAACAAATATGCATGTAATATCACAATGCTAGGCAAAATTCTACGTAACTTTCTTTCCATTGAGAAAAAATTCTATCAGTTGACGCTTTGTCCACCCATGTATCTTAGACACAAAAATCTACGTAACTTTCTTTCCATTGAGAAAAAATTCTATCAGTTGATACTTTGTCCACCCATGTATCTTAGACACCACCTTACCTAGCATTATTAACAGGATAAACATGCTCGGAAAATTGATCAGTTTTGGTCTTTTCTCATAGGATGATGAGTAAAGTGAAATCAGAGGTCGATGTATTTGGTATGTCTGTTGATGATATAGATTTCCTTGATCAAGTAGTCCACAACTTGCAGAAGATTTTTGACAGTGGCTTCTTCCATGTAAGTGTTGGCAAATTAGTTGGTCGTTTTCATTTTAAAAATCTATCGTAAAGTACTCTGCTGTTTGTCTCACTGCATTTTTTTTTCTTCAGCGACTGGTGCTAGTAGATTCACCTTTGTGTTCTTCAATAGACCTTGTTAGGTCCAACAAGAAACTTCTAGATGCATTTTATTCTTGCTTCGCTGAGAGCAGTTCTGAAATCATTCTACGCGTTGGTAAGCACCATGTACCTGATCTGTTCCCTCACTGTATCCGCTAAAAAGAGCATGTTCTCAATCCTAATTTATTTCAAGAGATTTACTTCTTTATGTTACTGTTTTGTCTGGCATTTGGTGCCTTCAATAATGAAGTTTGCATTTCAGGATCTTCGAAGGAACTCCCATCTGATCGGAAGACTATACTCCATCTTCTAGCTCTTCTTTTATTCTTCATATCGGCAACTGGTATTTGATCAACATGTGGTTGTTGATATCTATAGATATGCATACTTTTATTCTAATCCTACTTTTCCTCTAAACTACTATACATACATCTACTTTTTTTTGTCGAAATCTCTCTGCTCTTCAGCAATAAAAATGATCTTAAGTTGGAGAATGGTTCTGTGTTGCTTCTACCATTCTGATTAGCCTATCTACATTATTCTTTTAACATGATATTATGGTATGATGGAGTTTGTTCTGTTTTCAGATGAAACTCCTGACAAGAAATCCATGAAACTACTAATGGAGATATTGCAGATGGTTCCAGTGGTCTATTTAGAAGGTGGAAAGTGCATCGTGCTATCTGATTTAATGAGGTGTTATTGCCCTCCAGCACTATCTTTGCTGTCTCCCATTAAGGAAGCTTGTGAAGCTTTTGGAATCACGAAGAGTAACTATTTGGCGCATTTAAATGAAGTGCACTCAAGGTGTGCATATTTTCTCATCTTTACATGTACATCTTAGCAGCACCTTACCAGGATCCTAGAACTTGGAAGTCCAGCATTCTGTGTCTCCATTGTTACTTCTTCCAGATTATCTCTATCTGTGGAGTTTTAAGTTGGGTAATTGTAGCTCTGATTTATACTTAGATAAGTACACTTTTGGAGAGCATCAACAGATATGGGAGCACCTGCCAAATATGGCATTAAGGTTAGAATTTAGAAACAGAAAAAACTGTACCATGGTTGGAAACAGCTTCATAATTCTTTCCTTTTTAATTTGAGGTGTTTACCTTCCCTCTCTTAAGTTTCATGCATTGCTCCATCCTTAACATGTGTTTGTAGATATTTTAATTGAAAGTGTTACGCCCTAAGATTATGAGTCTCTTGGTATTATCTGACTCTGCTTCTATTGCACATGTCTGAGAAATTTACTGGGCTTGTCACTTTGACACGGCTAAGTGTTTGGTTCTATCTAATGTTTAACACTCCACTTTCCTTTAAATATTGTTTGGTATGTGCAGGGATATTGAAGCCATAAATGATTCGCTGTCTTGTTGGTCTGTTTCATTCCAGTCAGCTGTTCATCCATCGGTAAATAAGTTTCCCAGCTTCTGGAGTACAATTGCACGCTGAGTCTTGACTTATGTTTGTTCTGCACAACATGCTGAGTTTTGACTCGCGTTGATTTCAGTCGCAGATGTTGACTGAAGAATGGGTTCGGCATCTCCAGAAGCAAATTTTGCAGGTCATTTTAGCTTTTGTCCTTCTTGCTAGTTGAATGCCTCCTAATAAAACTGTCCTGATAGTTCGATTTGAATGCTAAACATTAAAGCATATCTTGAAGCTGAACTACAAAAAACATTGCTACCATTCCATGATCTGAAGATGGCTTCTTGTGATCATTTTGTTGTACTTTTTCTTTCTTATTAATTTTTGTTGGATGAGACTTGCCGTGCCAAATGAATTTGTTTTTGGATCTGCTAATTACCTACCTTGTGCTCCTAAGTAGCCAATTTAGCTGAGCAGGCAAAAACTGTTGCCTACTTTTACAGAGGTGATTGATTTTTCTAAAGCAATTGATACTTATTTCTGATGATTATAAGTTTCTTTGAAGCTTGTCTTTGAACAGTTTTTTGTCAACACTACAGAATTTGAAGAACTACTGATAGAATGCTATTGGAAGGAATCATAAGAGTCGGTCCTCTAGCTTTGCTTATTTCTTTTGCTCTTCAGTGCAGGGAGTACTGCTTGCAGATAGAATACATATGCTTGTTCAGTCTATGCTTGACCTACATACACATCTTAAGGTACCTATACTTACCAACTTTGCTTTACCTCTTTTTCGCTTCTCTAGTTCTCTCTGTGTTTGTTGGCCTGCATTGGGGTCCTGTGACCTATTCATTACTTTGAGTAGTTCTTGCCTTGCTCGCATGGTACCAACTTGGGCAGTTGGGCCTGTGGCGCCCCTATTTATTCTGAGGTTTTATTTGTTGCTAGTGCATGTCTACTGGCCTACTGACCTCAGCTCGATATTTGGTAAATATGTCTAGTAGCACTGTTTAGATACTTTTCACATTTCCCTCTTTATATCATAGTAACATCTTTGATACATCATCTTGACTGATATATATAATACTCGAATCAAGGTTCCACTGAGAAGGGAGAAAGCCAAGTCTCTTTGTCAAATGGTTGTGGCTCTGAAGGTATCAGAAAACTGTTAATTTGCTCGTTGAAATTTTGAAGTACCTGTTTTGTTTAACACTACTCATTCTAATATATTAGTCCATAGGAGACTTGTTCAACACAAGAGGGCCCAGCATAGTACGTAGTCTTCCTCACATCATCAATATCATTCAATCAGATATTGAACAGCTCATACTACCATTGAAGGTTCATTTTCCAACTTCCTGAACTTTATTCCATTTCCCCTTTCTTCATGGATCCTGATGTTATGTTACTTTATCCTTAAGCAGGATAAACTGCAAACTGAAATTGCCAAGGCAGATCAAGTGAGCAAAACAGGTTTTCTTAGCTTGTTGAGACGTGGTACGTGACACTATTCATGTATTTCTTTTTCCCAAGAAAATGATTCATTTTTGTTATGCTTGGATTCATATAATTGAAACATAGCATACGGCACAATTGTTTCTCTTTTGTGCACTCCTGTCCGTTGAAAGATTCTGTTTGCTAGATGTACTAGTGCCTAGTGTGGATCTATCAGTTGTTTTGTATATCAGCATTTAGAAATAATATTTTGTCAGTATGCACATATATAATAAAAACTCTTCCTTGGTTTAATATGTCAATCATATACAGCTTTATGCCTTCTTAACTTGGTAATCAATTTTCCTTTTTTTGTGTGAAAATGCCTTTGGGAAACATCAATGTTTGCAAAACATAAGAGGATGCGTCCAAAGTTCAAACGTACAGTTAAAAGACTAATTTTGCTGTGCACTTTATTTTGTGTTCATACTTCTAACATGGGACAGCATTGGTTTAGGCGGTGCAGAGTTGGAGACGAAGCTTCTTGATTCACTGTCATTGGTAACACATCTTTGAACATTTTTTCTATATAAGTTTGTGAAGTATTATGTTTAGATGTTGATTGTTTTCTTCATTTGTTCAAAAGGGGTAAAAGAATATATAGTACATTGAGAAACTAACTGTTCACTGGCACTAACTCAGTTAATTTTGATTGTATTTATTTCTTCGTTTACATTAAAGGCATGTCTAGGTAATGGTGTGCTTGATATATTTACAACTCAACTATCCTATTTCTTGTTGCCTCTATCTCCTTTCTATTCTTATAATTCAGTTGATGAGTAGCGAGGGTAATGCTACAAATTTTTGCTGATGGTTAATTATTTTGTCACTAGAAACGAAAATGAAAACATGTTAGCTTAAGGTTTACTGTAACTGTGCTGTCTCTAATTGAGATAGGGATTGAGTAGATACTGGAGTTTGTATTTGATATTTATGCTAGTTGTAATTGTTGTGTCAGTAAAACTGTAGAGCATGCTGGATAGCCAATTATCAGATTAGGATGGTTCTTTTTCAGCTAAGTTTCAGTTGAAGATCTGAGAACCATTTTTTCTTTAAGATACAAATATTATTTAGCTAATTTGTTTATTTCAATGATTTAGTTCTAGAACTGACTAGTTTTGTATTTCTTGATTGCTCCAGGTATTGATATCCTTGCAATTGCTTGAAGGAGGTGGAAGTTCTTCGAGGCAGCTGACACTTTCTATTACCATGGATATTCTACACAGTTTGGTGTGTTTGCCAATTACTGGATGCATTATTACCATCTTGCTGTAGCTGGCTTGAGCGTCCTCTGGAAATGTCGTGTGGTACTGTGCAGTACAAATGTAGACTAACTCACTAGCATGTTTTTTTTTAAAAACTTGACCTGCGGGGGGTTATGACGGCCCCCGGGTATTTTGTTAAGAAGAAGACCTTCTCACACAGGCTGAGAAAACCCCCGAACCTCCGCCCCCACCCATACACAGTGGAACACTAGCATGTTTAGAGATTACATGGATACGAATTTGCTAGTGGTTGGTCAATTGGTTTGCTTGTGAGCCTGAAGAGAATGCGAACTCATAAAACTGCACCTCAAGACTTTTCTAACGCTAAAGGTAGCATGACGACTGAGTTAACACAGATTAACCAAATTGGGTATGGTTGAGAACTTGAATATGGATATGTTGCTTTTGCCTGCATACTTCCAGATTTAGCTTAATACTTTATTCTGAAGTCTGAATTAGCAAGTTGATCTCCATCAAATCTTCTAGAAAGTCCTCTTTGTGTACTCATTTACTCATATTATTTCCTCCATGAGGGCTATTATTGAATACAAGTGCTATTAACAATAATTGTTTTTATTTTTTGTTTGTTTTTCTTAATAGATATGTTTTATTTGACATTTATAATACTAATATTTGTAGCCACAAAGCAGGGTCACTTGGATGTTGAACTGGGTAGAGTGAGGAAGCTTATATCGAAGTTCAGAATTCTTTCAAATTGCCAGTCCCTGATTGATGAAAGAACAAACTGTAGCTTCTTGTACTGGAGAAAGGAGATGCTTTCAATTTGGTTATCCATGGTATATGGAGATGCTTGCAAATTGTCTTGGATACAGTAAGTGTTTTAGATGTCAGTAAAATTTCATGATGCTCTTATAACCACATCCACATGCCTTTGATATGAACAATGGGATGTGTTGTCATTGGCAGTTATTATTATTTTTCATTTTAAGTACTCCGCTCGATTTTGTGCATGAGTTTTATTCTTTGATTGGCTCATCTGTTTGATATTTATATTTTTTTCTTCAATTTGTTTGCGTCTTACATAGGACTTCTCACTAAATCTTTTCGAGAAGTCTCAATCACAAGTGTTCATTTTTTCCTTACATTGATTATTTTGAGTTAACAGAAACATCATTGATTCATTTTCTGATGGAACATTGCTCCTTGGGCTTGGGAATGTGGGCCCAGTTGCTCTTCGGAGTTATGAGGAAGACATTGAAAATGTTTTGAGGGAGGTGAGTTTTTTTTACTACATATGCTGTTGTGTTGACTAAAGTCAGGAATTCGAAGTAAGACATGGTCACTCTCTTTTCTGTAGGAGGTGGTTGCTCCACTATGCAGGGACATTGAGACTGATCTCCGACTTCATGTTCATTCTACTCATTTGAAAGGAGCAGTTGATGTGAACCCAACAAAGGTAACAAAGTACATTGTAAGGGTTGAGAATTGTATTATTTCTTTGTTTTTTTTAGTGCTGACATAAACTATGTCTGCGTTGATGGTCAGACTGGGGTTTGTAATCTTTCATGGTACTTACGAATGAGGCCCTTGAGGTTACCTGTCAAGTTTGTTGATGTTAAATTGCTCGTGGAAAATCATCTAAATTCTGCGTTCTATACGTACTCTGTGATGCCTAATTATGATGACAAGGTATCTATCAACTATCATGCCCTTCCCATGTCAGATAAGTACTACAATTGACAGTCATACATTATCTTATCAAATGCTTGCTTATGTGTTGAGTTTACTCTAGATATATGCAGAGATGCATGAACTAGGAGAGCTGAAATATGGTGTTGAACTGGAAGATTTCCGTCTTACTGTGGAAACTCTGGATCAAGGTTTTGATCTCAGAAAAACTATCGAAGATCTTTATTCGTTTTGTGAGAAATACTCCTACAGCATTATCAAACAGGTGGGTACTAATACTTATGTCATGGAAGGACACTTTAGTAATCATTCTTCATATGAACTCTTTTCAAGTTGTAAGAATCTGAAGAATAGTCCTTTTTTTTCCAATGTTTTAAATCGTGGGCTAAGATATTAGCGGTGGCCTCTTTCAAAAGCTAAAATATGTTTGCCTACTCCCTATGATTCCAAATGTAAGACGTCTTAGGATTCTAGCTTCTTTAACTTGAACTATCAATATATATAAAGTTATATAGAATTATAGATCAAGAGTTATGGTTGATGTTATTAGATTCATCATGGAAAAAATTTGTTCATGGTATATAACTTTCTCTATTTAAATAGTATACATCTGCAAAATTGTAAGTTAAAGTGTCATATTGGAGACCTTGTCAATTGTCATGTCCTAAATGACTTCATTTGGAATCAGAGGAAGTACTCTGCAGCGTGTTCCAGCAAAATCTCCTTTATGCTTGTGTTAAGACTTAAGACTCTTAAAGTAACTTGTCTTTCTTTTGTCCCGCTTTTGTCTGTATGTATTTATGCAGATGTTTATTGAGAATGATTTGGATGGCCAAGGCCGTAAAAATTTAAGAGTTTTCTGTGTTGAACACATTGCATCATCAACAGCGATGTGCAGTTTGCAGCAAATTTCTGCAGCTTTGGACTCCATTTTGATGTTTTTAGACAGGATGGTTTTAGATCTGGATGTGTTGCTTCAAAGCAACGCCGACGTCTATATGTTAAAGGATTTAAAACAGTTAGAGGTAATTTTTGCTCTTGATATGTTCTGAATTATTTATATTGTGCTATTTGTGATGCATAGGGTGATCTCTGACCCTATTCGGATATTCACCGTAGGCCGCATCATGAAAAAAAGACGAGCTAGTTATTTCATATTCAATTTAAATTATTTATTTAATTATTAATTTTTACTTGATATACCAGAACACTAGGGTATCCAGTGTACACCCTGCTATCCAAGGAGAGCTGAAAGTTACCATAGGGAAGCATGGAATTGGAGACCATACTCTGGGTTTCCTTGAACAAGTACGAGCTGTGGTGTATAGAATAGGAAATGCAGTAGGCCTGATGAGAATGCTTGCTGCTGGATGTACCCGCTATTCCAACAGCATCTCAAGGTGTGTGCTCTTAAACTTTCTTGGTTGAACTTGTGGACACATATTTTGTTGACAGTTGGTCCTTTCTCATGCTTGTAGATATGCAAGAATGTCCAACTATGACTTGAGCTACTCGACAAGTTGCAAGATAGTGGGTTGGGATTATGACATTGCTGAAACTGGGAAGATACTGGATATGGAGGCACGAAACAAGGAAGAACTGGATAAGAGGATTCAAACCTTTCTAAGGTTGGTTACCTACATTAGACAGGTACTATCTTCCACTTACTATTTACTGTTTTCTTTTAGTTTTATATTTCCCCCTCCAAGCTATGTGAAATTATAAATTATGTCAACTGCCGAATGTCAGTTTTTACTTTCTGTACACTGTCTGTTGTGTTTTGGAACATTATACAATGGTACCTTTCCTTTTGTGTAGTACTATAGGTGGAAAGTTCAATATTTTCATATGGTGCACCTGTCTTATTCACATACTACTATGCTAGAAGTAGTTTTTGCATTGTTTCACAATGATAAGTCAATCTCATTATCATCTTGTAATTCAGGAGTCAGGACAAGTACCTCTGTGAATATTGTGTTGCTCAGAAGAATTTTTTTTTACTGGTAAAATATGGTTACTAGTTCAATATCACGCATCCTCACTTTTCCAGGCAAAAAGTAATTGTATTTTGTTGCACACTCTGATGCATGTTGATAAGGGGAAAAAATTATATCATAAATAAAGCTGATTCCAAACAGCGTTCACATGATAAGCCACAATAAAGTTTTTTTTTTTTTAACTGAACAAGTTGATGATGTTCCATCAACTTTGCATAACACCTATGCAATCATTAAATATTTTCCAATGTAGTTTGATCTCAGGTGAAGGGTGGGCCTGGTGCAAGCGGTAGAGTCTTACCGCCTGTGACCGGAAGGTCCCGGGTTCGAGTCGCGGTCTCCTCGCATTGCACAGGCGAGGGTAAGGCTTGCCACTGACACCCTTCCCCAGACCCCGCACAGAGCGGGAGCTCTCTGCACTGGGTACGCCCTTTTTTTTTTTAGTTTGATCTCAGGTAATACTGATTTGCTACATTGGCTAGGTTTGTTCTTTGTTCAGCCAGTCTTGTATAAGGCATGGGCTGGGATTTATATCTTGTAAAGTTTCGCCAAACATTGACACAAATGGTATGCGAAGAAGCCTTATGTGTTTCCTCTTTGACCGTTCTCTGACTCCTCAACTTTTCTTGGATGATCTGTAGAAGATTCAGAGCAATGAGCTTAAAGCAATGGATGACTTTTTCCAAATTGTTCCATTGCTCATTGCCAACATGGTGGACAATAGGGTGCTTCTCAAGGATAAACTATTGAGACGAGGGCATGAAGCCAAGAACACCATTCATACCTATGATAGTTTCCTATTAGGGGTTGCTTTTATCCTCAAGGTAACTTTGCTCGAGTGTTATTCTTGTTTCATTCTGCTTTTGCTTTACCAGGACTATTTATGAATGTATTCAGGTGTCTGACAGTCTTACCAGAGGGGGGTGCCAATGCACCCACAGCAAAAACAAAATTTAGTGCTAATTATCTCAAATCACCACCCATGCACCCCCTCAATCCAGGGTCATGCACCCCCCACGGCGCAACATGGAAGTGTGAAAGCTCAACTGCTCGAGCAAACTAATACAAGCCATTGATGAGCCTAGTGCCAATAAATATGAGCATGCCAGGATCAAGGGCAGACCAAGTCCTGCATGTACGATGATAAAAAAAAGTCGACGTAATTAGGCCTAGGACCAGAACTCTAGAAGCCCATGATTCATTGTCTAATCAGTACATTATTATTATATACTATTCGTTGATGCATGCTTCCTGCACCCTCTCATTTTATTCCGTGATTGCACAAGCTAAGTACTACTCTTTGTTTCTATATACACTTCAAGTATTCATGACATTTCTTCCAAACAAAACACCTAAACTTGCAATTATTGCTTGCTTGCTAATTGTTTCTGTAGTAGAAATAGATATAACTAGATGTTCAGATTTGTATTGGGAGATTTTTTTCAGTTGGGGTATAGATAGGCTAGATGCCAAGTACATATAAGAATAAGAAAAATGAGACTCATCTTTCATTGTTTCATAATTAGGAGCTCTGATTTTTTTTAGATAATGGGAGATGTAGTTATATAGGTTTGATTTATCGAACTATAGGATTTGATAAGAATTTAGGTTTTAAAATTAGTTGACCATGGTAGTATGTCATTTAAATTACTAATGCTATCTGATTAAGTGGCAAATAATCGATACTAATTTCCTATACCGATCTCTGCATAAATCTAAGATAAATGTTTGTCCAAGTTTGATAACCCGGCCTATTGTATATATTTATTGATTTTGCATAGCTCTCTCTATGTTTATATATAATTTTGCAGATCCGTGTATATTACCCTAGAAAAATCAAACTTTAGCATGCAAATAATGCATATCAAGGTTAAGGCTCTGTTTGGTGGAGCTCCGGTCAACTCCTCTATGCATGCACCCCCCTCATTTTAGCTCTAGCTTCGCCACTGAGTCTTACCTTATGTTCTCTGAGTTCTGACTCGAGGCCTTGTGTTCTGATGCTTTATCTTAGGTATTGGAACAAGAAAACCATTTTGATGAACTCAATTGGTTTGCTTCCACAAAAACAAAATTTGAGGGAGAGTCAGAAAACAAGGTCAACAAAATAGATGCAAGCGCAAATAGGTCTGCTTTCACCAATCTGAAACTTTGGCGTGCAACTCCACCAGTTGGAACAGAACATCATAAGGTACTTTAACTTTGGCTCTCATTCTCTATGGCAAGGTTCTTTTCTCAGAACTACAAAAACAGCCTGACTTGTGCCCGTTACCAGTGCTGCCACATAACTGTACCATAGGTTTTCCCCTTCTGCCCAAGAACTAACATCCCTAGTTTCCATAACAGGGTGTTGACAAGGGAAAGCGGTACCAGCAGGAGATTGAGCTTATAGAGTGTACCCTCAGGTTGGCAAGAACAGTATTGAGATGACACGTTGAGACTGTAGGATACCTATGTTGCCCGCTGATGTATTTTTTGCATACCCTTTGGAGTATCTTATGCATGTACATTAACAAGAACGAAAAGAAGAATAAGGCCAAACTTCAGGTATTGGAGCCATGAAGGCAGCTTCAGAACTTATTACAAGCAGAAACATGGGGCTGGTTGTGGACACTACCATATATTGGTTGTACGCAATTTTTGTATATAGATAGAAGGCGAAAGAACAGGTGTAATGTCGAATTTCACTATACTGTTATGTACTTTCACAACAGCCGAAAAGTGGTAGAATTCAGGCAAACAATCTCATATCTGTGTTGTGAATCTGTCGAAATTGTATCCATAGACTGGCTATTGTCGGGTACACTGTCATGTACACATGTGTCAGTCTCTAGTGAGTTGGGAATTATTTCATTTGTATTGTATGCATTTGGAACATGTAAATTCAGAATCTCATTTGGATGATTCGAATTTTGACTGATTTCTCAGAAATTGAATGGTTCGGTTCTCTTTGAATTCTCGTAGAACTCTCCTGCTTGTAAAGCGTGATCTAGATAAATGATTTCATGGGAAAAGACGAAAAGGAACATGGTAGCTCCGTGACTGTCAAGGGCACCAAACCCCTGGTAGCGGGACCTCGACTACGTAGTTCGTAGTCGCGATCCGTCGTCTCCGGCGAGGTCTTGCCCCTTAGCCGTAGGCTTTGTTGGGAAGAAGGGAGAGAGAGGAATTAGGAAATAGTTCTTTCTTACCTCTCAATCACCGATTACAATTATTCTTATAGGCCCAATGGCTGGCTACCCTTGAGCTAATTGCTCCTAAATTTGGGGACCATGCATGGCCTTCCAACTAATTTAGCCACTTCCTAAAACAACCTCCGCATGCGGCGTGGTGACCGCGGCCTGTGCGCCTCCAGCGGCTCGGCGGATGTCACGGGCACGCGTCCTCCTGGAATAGGCGCGGCCACACATGACATCTCTCCCCCCCTCGACGTCCAGAGCGTCCTCGAGCTGGAATGATGGATACTTGTCATGGAACGAGTCGAGGTCTTCCCATGTTGCTGATGCCGCCGGTTCCCCTTTCCAGTGCACAAGCACCTGGCGTACGCCACGCGCCAGCCGAGTGCGAAGGGCTCGTTCCGGCTCCGGAGTGATGGCGCCATGGTGAATGGCCGGAAGTGGCGGCGGAGCGTCCGGAGGCAGCCCCACGAACTTCTTCAGGACGCCGACATGGAACACGTCGTGCACTCTAGCACGTGGTGGCAGCTCCAGGCGGACGGCGACGTCGTTGATCATTTCGGCGACGCGATAGGGCCCGAAGTAGCGGGGCTTGAGCTTGCCCGTTGTGGGCTGCGACAAGGAGGAAGCCACGCGCTGCCAGAGGCGAAGCAGGGCCCAATCTCCCACCTTGTACGCGACGGGGCGGTGGAGCTTGTCGTAGTGGTGCTTCTGGACCTTCTGTGCTTGTTCAAGGTGGTAGCGGACGTCCTGGAGGAAGGCATCCCGCTCCTCCATGTTCTTGGCCACGGCGGCAACCCGGGTTTCACCCTGCTCATAGGACCGAATGGTGGGGGGGTCACGGCCGTAGACCACGCGGAACGGCGTGTCGCGTAGAGACGTCTGATAGGCCGTATTGTAGATGTACTCGGCCCAAGGCAGCCAACGGAGCCACTGGCACGGCCGGTCGCCCGTGAAACATCGCAGGTACATGACGATCACCCGATTGGCGGCCTCGGACTGCCCGTCCGACTGGGGGTGGAAGGCCGTCGTCATATGCAGCCGGGTGCCCACCAGGCGCATCAGCTCGCGCCAAAACATGGACGTGAAGACCGGATCCCGGTCGGACACCATCGACTGCGACACTCCATGCAGGCGCACGATGTCGTGGAAGAACGCTAGCGCGACCGACTCGGCGGAGTAGGGGTGCGCCAAGGCGATGAAGTGGCAGTACTTGCTGAACCTGTCCACCACAGTCAGAATGACGGACTTACCACCCACCCGGGGCAGAGCCTCCATGAAGTCGAGGGCGATGTCGGTCCAAACGCCCGTCGGGATGGGTAGCGGCATGAGCAGTCCCGCTGGATGGAGGTGCTCTGACTTGTAGCGTTGGCACGTCGAGCATGCACGCACCAAGTCCTGGACGATCTGCCGCATGTTGGGGAAGTGAAAGTCGCGGCGAAGTCGGTGCAGTGTGCGTTGGACGCCCTCGTGGCCGTCGTCGTGGACCGCCATCACGATCTTGAGCAGCAGTGGAGATGCCGGCGCGATGTAGAGGTGGTTGTCGAAGGTAATCATGTCATCAACAAGTGCCCACGGAGCGCCGCGTGTGCCCGCGCGGATCTCGTCCCGCAGGGCCACCAGCGCCGGCTCGGAGGACTGGGCCTGACGGAGGCGCTCGACGAAGTCGAACCGCGGCACTGAGATGGCTGTGAGGGCGCCCTTGGCTGTGTCGTGCCGTGACAGCACGTCCGCCACTGTATTAGCCGCGCCGGGCTTATATTCGACCTAGAAGTCGAAGCCCAGGAGCTTCCCCACCCAATGGTGCTGAGGAATGGTCGCCAGCCGCTGGTCCAGGAGAAACTTGAGGCTGAAGTGGTCCATCCGGACAAGGAAAAGGCGCCCCCAGAGGTACGGCCTCCAGTGTCGGATGGCGTGAACCAGCCCGATGAGCTCCCGCTCGTAGGCGGCGAGGGAGCGGTGACGTGGGGCGATGGGGTGGCTGAAGTAGGCCACGGGGTGCTTGTCTTGGATGAGCACCGCCCCGAAGCCATGTGTGGAGGCATCACACTCGACGATGAATTCCTTGGCGAAGTCCGGCAGCGCCAACACTGGGGCTGAGGTGACCGCCCGCTTGAGCGCGTCGAAGGCGTGTGCTGCGAGCGTCGTTCTAGGAGAAGCCCTCCTTTTTGAGGAGCGCCGTAAGTGGTGCCGCGATCGTGCCGTAGTCGTGGACGAACTTGCGGTAGTACCCCACAAGGCCGAGGAAGCCGCGGACGGCGCGCGCGGAGCGGGGCACCGGCCAGTCATGGACGGCCTGCACCTTGGCCGGGTCCATAGCGACGCCCGAGGCGGAGATGACGTGGCCAAGGTAGGCGACCGAAGACACCCCGAATCGCACTTGGAGCATTTGACGAAGAGCCGGTGCTGGCGCAGGAGGGTGAGCACGACGCGAATGTGCCATAGATGGTCTGCCCATGACTTGCTGTAGATCAAAATATCATCAAAAAACACAAGCACAAACCGGCAAAGGAAGGACCGCAGCACGTCGTTCATGAGAGCTTGGAATGTCGCCGGAGCATTGCACAGTCCAAACGGCATGACGAGGAACTCGTACAAGCTGTCATGTGTGCGGAAAGCAGTTTTGTTGACGTCGTCGGGCCGCATCCGGACCTGGTGGTAGCCCAAACGTAGGTCTAGTTTGGTGAAGAATTTGGCGCCCTGCAGCTCGTCGAGGAGTTCGTCCACCACGGGTATGGGGAACACGTCCTTTACCGTGAGCGCGTTCAACGCCCGGTAGTCGACGCAGAACCTCTAGGCGCCGTCTGCCTTTTTCACCAGAAGGACCGGCGAGGAGAATGTGGATGAACTGCGGCGGATGATGCCCTGGTCCAGCATTGCCCGGCACTGACGCTCCAGCTCATCTTTATGGGACGCCGGGTACCTGTATGGCCGAACCACCACTGGGTGCGCGCCTGGCTTGAGGGTGATGCTGTGGTCGCGGGCACACGAAGGTGGCAGGCCTTGGGGCTCCACAAATATGTCGCCGAAGGATGCCAGCAGCTCGTCCAGCAAGGACTCGCTGGCCGTTGTGGTGTGAAGGTGAGGCGCGCCGGATGTCGCCATGCCCGTCCAGCGCACGTCACGGCCTTGCCGCTGGAACGCCATCGTGCGGGCGCCCAGGTCCCAGAGGACTGGTCCCAGGGTGGCGAGCCACTGGGTGCCCAACACCAGATCATAGCCGGCGTGAGGCATCACAAAGAGATCGGTGTGAAACAAGTCATCGCCAATGACGAACGGTGCCTGCCGAAGGACGCCCGGGCAGGAGACGCGCTCACCGTTGGCCACTATGGCCGTGAGGCGGGGGCGGTGTTGGATCGGTAGGCCGGAGCGGTGCGCTGCAGCTTCAGCAATGAAGTTGTGGGTGGAGCCCGAGTCGAGGAGGGCCGTGAGGACCGAACCCCCTAGTTTGACGACGATCTGCATGGTGTCGCTGAAGTGGATGCCTGCAATCGCGTTGACGGAGACGTGGGGCATGTCCTCCTCAACCCCAGGCGCCTCCGTGGTCAGCGCGTCCTCGACGTCCTCCTCTTCCACGCCGTCGAGGAGGAACAACCGCTTGCAGACGTGATTATGACCGCGACTGAATTTCTCGTCGCAGTTATAGCAGAGCCCAAGACGCCGGCGTTCTTCCTGTTCCGCCTGGGTCAGCCAGCGCACGGGATGGCCCTCCACCATGACGGTGGTCGTGGCAGTCTTGTCTGGCTGGGCGCCGGGAGCGCGAGACGGGGCGCGGGTGCCGGCAGGAGAGCCCGGTCATGCCCCGGCGCGTGCGCGCGAGTTGGCGGCGCGACGTAGCTGTTCCGGAGCTCGATCTTGCGGGCGAGGCTCATGGCGACCGCCAGCGACTAGGGGTTGTGGATCTCCACATCGTGGCTAAGTGGTGGGAGGAGACCGGTGGTGAACAGCTGGACGCGCTGTTCCTTGTCTAGCCGGCCGGCGCGCGGCAACAGGGCCTAGAAGCGGTCTTGGTACTCCTCGACCGTCCCGGTGCGGTGACATGCCGCCAGTTCGCCAAGAGGGTTGGAGCGAAGAGGAGGCCCATAGCGCAAGTGGAGGAGCTCCTTGAAGTGGCGCCAGGAGGGGGTGCCCTCATCCTGCTGGACCTGGTAATACCATAGTTGTGCGCCGTCTTCTAGGTTGTACGAGGCCATCCAGACCTTCTCCTCCTCCATAATTCGTTGCTGATGAAAATATGATTCACAGCGATTGATAAAAATCAATGGATCGGACTTGCCATCATAGCGCGGGAAATCCATTTTTTGGAATCGGGGCGGACGATCCTGGTGGTGTTCCCCCGAGCCAGTGCGCGACGAGGACATCGACCTGCCAGCTGGTGTGACTGCCGCGTCTAGGCGCTGGATCGCCTGGGCGTTGGCCTCGACAGAGGTGTGCAGGGTCTTGATGGACTGCACCAGGGACTCCAGGGTGGCCTACATGGCGGCCTGCGTGGCTTGAGCAGCTGTAGCGTCGCCCATGGCGGTGAGAGGGTTTGGCGGTGGTGGCGTGGTGGAGACAGGGGGTGGCGGCTGCGGTGGTGGGTGTGGGGCTAATCGGGAAGATGAGGAACGCCTGGATCGTGATACCAGGTTGTCAAGGGCACAAAACCCCTGGGTAGCGGGACCTCGACTACGTAGTTCGTAGTCACGATCCGTCGTCTCTGGCGAGGTTTTGCCCCTCAGCCGTAGGCTTTGTTGGAAAGAAGAGAGAGAGGAATTAGGAAATAGTTCTTTCTTACCTCTCAATCACCGATTACAATTATTCTTATAGGCCCAATGGCCGGTTACCCTTGAGCTAATTGCTCCTAAATTTGGGGACCATGCATGGCCTTCCAACTAATCTAGCCACTTCCTAAAACAACCTCCGCATGCGGCGTGGTGACCGCGGCCTGTGCGGCCTGTGCGCCTCCAGTGGCTCGGCGGATGTCACGGGCACGCCTCCTCCTGGAATAGGCGCGGCCACACATGACAGTGACACCCAACTGAAACTCAGTAAATTTTACCACTAAACAGACGAGATAATTGGAATTTTACCATTATCAAAGTTGGCTTCGCTTGTTTGTCACCCCGCAAGAGGGATTCACTAGATTGTCATTATCAAACTGGGTACATACGCTGAAATGCCATTGATCTTATTTCTTCCAAAATTCAATCACTTTTTTATTCCATCCAATTTTTATTTCCTGTTTTAAGAAACCTTGGGCTTGATTGGTTCGGATCCAAAATTTGCCCAACCAAAATTAGGGCGTGCCAAAATTTGATTGCCAAAAATTTGGCAATAATTTTGATATAGCACTTGGTTGGGTGCCAAATTGTGACATCCAAAATTTTAGACCTTGGTATAATGCCAAAATAGGAAGGGCCTTGTCTCTTGTATGCAGCTAAAGAACTCTATAGAGACTCGTCAAAACTTTGCCCATAAACATTAATGTGCTAATTATTTGGTAATGAACCAAATGATGACTAAAATTTTGGCATGCCATGATTTTGGTTGAGCAAGAATTGGAGCCGCACTCGCCCCAATGCGGGTTCGCCCGCCGCCGCCGGCCAACGCTAGCACGACGCCGCTCCGCTGCCCAACGCTAGCACGATGTCACGCCGCCCAACGCCAGCCCGCAGACACTGCTCCATGGCCGAGTAGACGCGCTCCAGCCATGGCTAGTTATTAATTTAACGCCGACACGCATCCACGGACACGGAGCGCCGCATGAATCTCGGTGCGGGTGGCGGCTACATCTTCTCCCCCGTTAGACTGTCTCCGGTAGGTGACCCATATAGGCATCTAAACCTAAAATGGGTAGCAGGAGACCTAAAATCAGTCTCTAACAGAGTATCTATTCGCTTAAATTTATCAGCCGTACCGTTTCAGCGGAATAACAGTGTTTTTCTCTCACAACAAATCAGCATCATCATCAACCGTTTTTTCTAGCCAGTCGAACAGGGCCTCATTTTGGGTTGCCTGAGAGGCACAACCCAAACATGAGTATCATCTCTCTTGGAAAAACCCATTTGTAAAAATGATTCTTTTTTAGGTTTTGTTGTTGGAGAAGATATCGAATGGGTATTAAACCTTTTGTCTGTAGCGCTAACCAAATATTGAATCGGTGTTGTATTGTTGTTGTACTGGAGTCTTATCCACTGGGTAACTCGCTTGCGAGCTCGTCGCTCCCACCAAGCTGTCGTCCCCCGACCACTCCGCCGGCCGCTCCAATGGCGGCGCCGGCCAACTCCTCATGCTTCCACCCCCGCGCGACCGCCAGCCCGCCGTCTTCTCTCAGGTCGGTCACCTCCTCCCTGCTTCTCCGACCCCTTTCGCACCCTAAACCCTACCCCCTCTGAGCCCCCGGATTCTCTGTGTTTCCGCTCTTGCAGCGTCGGCACCAAGGTCTTCGTCGGGCTCAGGGCGCAGACCAAGCTCGGTGAGATTCAACCGAAATTTGTTTAAATTTGTGGCGGATTCGTCTTCTGGGTTTGATTTTGGTTTCCGGGTTGAGGATGGTGAGCAGGGTCGTCGGAGTCGTCGTGCCCGAATGTCAGCGCTGGGTTCTACACTGCCGTCAACCGGAGGATCTCTCTGGGGTGAGTGTGCGTCGATCTCTAATTGCTATGTGTGCTTGGGTAGATCTTTGCTTGTTGCCTAGGTGTATGTATGCTCTGTTTTGGTATTTGGATGTTATACCATCTTAATCTTAGTCTCATGGGATGTGACACTTACATGGATGCTGGCTTTGCTTGCTGAGCTGAGATGAGATTGCTCACTGCATTAGGTTGTGGTGGTCAGTCCAGTATCGTTGACAGATACTGAAACAGATGAGTTTTGTTTCCAAACTAAGATGACATCATGAGCGCTTCTATCAGATTGTCAGTTAATGAACGGAGAAATTACTTGTTACGTCTCTTATAACAGTAGTGGATATTTTAGATAGCAATATAGCATTTGAATAGCCATAAACCTCAATGATCCTGACATGGTTTGTTGGGCACATTTCTCATCTCAGTATTCTGCAAATTTACCCTTGGTAGGTTGTCAAACAAGAAGGCAACCAGAGCCCGCATTTCGATGATGCCTATTGGTACTCCACGGGTGCCTTACAGAACACCTGGTGAAGGAACCTGGCAATGGCTTGACATATGGAATGCTCTGGTAAGACCCAATAACACTGATTATATCCTTCCTTGGGTGTACATAACTCTGTTTTCTTGCTGTGCATGGATAAGTAATTTGAACTGTCCATGTGCAGTACCGTGAGCGGATTATCTTCATTGGGGACAATATTGATGAAGAGTTCAGCAACCAAGTGTTGGCAAGCATGCTGTATCTTGACAGCATTGATAATTCCAAAAAGATAATGTTATACATTAATGGACCAGGAGGAGATGTAAGGACCTCAGAATACTATTATTGTACTTGTGTTGGTCTCCTTTTATTTTCACTGTTACACTTTTCATATAAAAAAAATGAACCCATGATTCTCTGACCTTCTACCTACTATACTATCATCAAGACATAAATTGTGAATAGTTGATTTTGCATATTACAGATATCTTGTTTTGATGCTTTTAAAATATTCATATAAGTAATCAAAAAGTCCATGACACTCAGGTTGCCCTAAGATACTTATGTTACATTCGAATCCAAACTTACCATGGTGTTGCAGCTTACTCCGTGTATGGCACTATACGATACCATGCTAAGTCTAAAAAGTCCTATTGGTACGCACTGCTTGGGCTTTGCATTCAACCTGGCAGGATTTATTCTTGCAGCTGGTGAAAAGGTATTACTACTTAGTATTGTCTTTCTATTGACCATATGTGGCTTTAATATGCTCAAGTATAATGCCTATTTCTGTTGTTCTGTATTGTTATTAAGGGTTCACGTACTGGTATGCCTCTATGCCGGATTTCACTTCAGTCACCTGCTGGAGCAGCTCGAGGCCAGGTTTGTAAACTTAACTGTTTAATACAGGAAATGGCTACATTTTACAGTCTTGATTTATTGGACCTTTCTCTGCAGGCTGATGATATAGAAAATGAAGCAAACGAGCTTATTCGTATCAAGAACTATCTCTATGGCAAGCTCGCAGAGCACACAGGTCATTCTGTCGAGAAGGTAAGAATTTCTGATTACATGAGCTTCTTTCTCGTCCCATTACTGGCAAATGATGGTTTGGTTTGCTCTAGCCTGTGGTATCTCATGATGAAGTCCCATAGAGGATCATGTATTATAATTTTTCCACTTGTCTTTCGTAACTTCAGTTCAAGCATCCCTTTCTTCTCAAACATTTACTTATTTGCAGATCCATGAGGACCTCTCTAGGGTGAAGCGCTTCGATGCTGAAGGGGCTCTCGAATATGGGATTATTGACCGTATTATCAGGCCTTCTAGGATCAAGAAAGAGGGCTCCACTGCCCAAAGGAGGGATATGCGAAATCTGGGACTTGGCTAATAGATGCTATCCTATTGTATCAGATTTTTGTGTGCTGGACTTCGCTACTCCAAACTTCAACTTGCGGTTTCAGACTCTAGGACAGAGATAAGCAGGGTTGCAGGAAGGCTGGCTGAAGTAGGGTGTAGCAGCTCTTCCATTCATTTCATCATATGTATCAAGAAATGCAGCACATGGTACTTTGGTGCGAGAATGTCCTTGTTGGAGAGCAATGTAACTGTCCGAAGCTTTATGCATAGGTATTTTGTTGGTGTGCAGTGTCTAGTATGCTTTTGCTAACTGTCAGTATTGTATTGCTGGGTTTGTTGATGAACACAGCAAAGAAAAAGACCAGAGGGCACTAGCCTCTAGGCGTCTCGTGCGCTACTTTTGCACCATCAATCAGGTGCCCATGTTTTGGATGGAGACTACAGTTACATGCAGGAGTACCACTCCTCTTTTCCAGGCTACTATATGTTAGTTTTCTATAATGATGTATCAGGTGCCCATGTTTGGTGTATCTTCATATCAATGTGACAGCAGGCTGTTGGGAGAAGAGGGTAGCTTTCAATGGAGCAGCAGCCACTGGTGGTGACCACTGACCAGCCACCTTACATACTGTGCGTAAACGTGCCGAATGTTTCTTCATCGAAGAAGAAACCGATGTTCCGGAAAGGATGCCCATTGGGAGGCGAAAGGAATGCTACCAGCCTACCAGGAATTCCAAATGCACCAGCACATTGCACTCACCACTCAGCCTGCTTTGACATGGCTTCAATTTGCAAAGATGCTGCATACGCTACTGTTGACGAAACAGATGAAAATGTGCAACAACTCCAGATGTGACAGTCCAACGGACATGACCAGGTCTCCTGGCCGTTAGGGCAGCTCCAGTGTCGCGTCGAACGGAACTGTGACTGTCAGGCCACGCATGCAAAGATTCCACTCCTCTGTGCACGAACCGAGCATGCTCCAGTGTTACATCCACTTTTCTCTCCATGGATCCACAACAAACAATAAGCAAAAGAGAAACCACAGCACATCTGGTGGTGGCTCGCTCCTTGCATGCACAGAATCAATATTCTCGCTCGCTTATCTTATTAGTCATGCTTATTAGTAATGATATATTGTTTTTCTCTCATAATTAAAGAGCATCAGTCGACTTATAAACCACGGAAGCGAACAGGGTTCTATTCCCTCGCGTTGAACCGAAAACTTGCGTCGAACTGTTCTATTCCCTCGCGTTGAACCGAAAACTTGCGTCGAACCAGGAATCTTTTCCTACGGTTCAGTTGCTCCAGTGTGTGAATCGAACTTTCACTGCTTTCTCTTTCCGCTCGGTTCGTTTGTCTGGCACACTAGAGCTGCTCTTACTACTTAACAAATTGGTGGCAGACCACCGTCTCCCTGTGTCCAGACTCTAGACATGGACTCATTCCGGTGTATTATCACTGCAGGAAGATTATCATTCGCTCGAGCTCCGAGGTTTCCGCAACTGGACATAAATAAACAAAGGCTATTTTTTTGTATTAAAAAAACAACAAACATACATTCCAAAGTAGCTCATGTTTTAAGTTAAACTATTTCAAATTTGACTAAATTTATACAAAAAAGTATTAATGTTTGTGAACCAAATAAGTATTGTTAGAATTATCACGAAATATATTTTAATATTATGCCTATTTTGTGCCACAAATTTTGGCATTCTTTGGTCAAAGTGAAATCGGTTTGACTTAGGAGAAATTTAGATCGAGCATCGGTTATTTTGGGATGAAGTGGGTATGCCGTTATATAAGAGATAATCTAAAGCACCCCCCCCCCCTAAATTTGTATCTAAATAACCCATATATGTTATTATGGAAAGACAACATAAAGTATCTCACACCTTGGTCGTTATGAAAGAAAATATAAAGTAGTCCTTTTATGGGAATAACAAGGGTGGGTAATTTATATTATATATCAACACTCTATGTCAACAAATTGTGTAAGTTATTACTTTTGATAAATTTGTACATTTTAATTGAAACATCCAAGCATATCTACATTGATAGTTGTTATAAAGCACTCTATTTTGTAAAAAGATACTAATACACACATAATTATTCTTCTATTGAGGAAATTCAACATCAAGTTTGCCCAAACAATACTGGTTTATGATAATGTAGTAACTAATAAACAGTCTAGGACCTAGAGTATATATTTTATAAAACACAAAAAATAGAGTTTTGAATAAAAGGTACTGTAACCCATGGATTTGAATAGAAAAATATGGATAAAAATACAGTTAACTAATAAAGTCAACATTTGAAAGCTAAAGTCTAGATTCATTACATCACAACTAATAATGGGATGCAACAAGAGCTAATCTATCACAACCGGATATAGAGATCATAGAGTATCTTATTGTGCATTGTTAGAGATGCTCACATCTTGGTCTCCAAGTCAAATTGGTGTCATCAGATTATCAGCCTCTATAGGGATGACGACGTCACGACGGAGACGGACATACGACAACCACCCCCAGCCCAAGGGAGCTCAACACCATGCATGGGCACCTTATTCTTCCCTTCGTTGACCGATGAAGGGCTGTGTTAGAAAATGGATACAAAGAGCGTGAAGATAAGCAATTTTTTGATTTGCTTGTAATAAGTAGTACTAAATTGTCCACAAACGTTTAATCAGCTCTCGTTTTTGAGTCTGAATTTTGGCACGGGGGCTCCAGCTCTCCTTTGAATCTGAACTGGGACCGGGGTCACCCGGCTTCAGCTCCTGCAAGTATCGGAGCAGAAACTGGGGTTCAAAAAACAATAGGGGAGTGGTCTGCATGCATCGGACCCCAAAACCCGGCTGAGGCCATGTTTGGTTCCCAAAAATTTTTACCCTAAAATGTCACATCGAATCTTACGGCGCATGTATGGAGTACTAAATGTAGATGAAAAAAATTAATTGCACAGTTGGGTGAGAAATCGCGAGACGAAACTTTCGAACCTAATTAGTCCATAATTAGACACTAATTACTAAATACAAACGAAAGTACTATAGTAGCCAAAACAAAAAATTTTTGCCAACTAAACGCGCCCTGAATAGTAGTGGCCGTGCATTGTCCACATCTGGCTGTGCAGCCGACCTGCAGAGCGCAGGAGCAGATAAGCGCACAATTTGTTAGCAGACAGCCTGTTCCTCGTATACGATCGTTGAATATAAATTAAAACAATATTTTTCTCTCGTCACACTAAACCAACCAGCCGTAAATAATGACGCCCATGCCTTGTTTAGATTGCAAATTTTTACAACATGGATACTGTAGCACGTTTCGTTTGTATTTGACAAACTTTGTCCGATCATGGACTAACTAGGCTCAAAAGATCCGTCTCGTGATTTACAACCAAACTGTATAATTAATTATTTTTTTACCTATATTTAATGCTCCATATATACGTCTAAAAATTGATGTGATGGAGAAAAAAAAAAACTTAGAATTTGGAGGTGATCTAAAAAAGGCCCCAGTTTTGGCCACACCAACTTCAAGAAAGCAACCCAGGCCGGGAGCTTGTAGTTGTGCTACATGAAAAGAAGCAGGCCATTCAGAGGGGCGGGCCCCACCGGGCGGTCAACATCATCATTCATCAGAGTGGTTGAGAGAAGGAGAGACCTGCATGCATGCACTGATGGACACTGTCTCAATCTCTCACAGTCCCATTCATTCACATGAATGAAGGCCTGAAGGGGGAGGAGGAGATGGATGGATGAGAGAGAAAGGAACATTACTCCATATCATATGCAGACAGACACAAGCAAGAAAGAATCAGCCTTGAGCCACTCCTGCCTGCACTTGCACTCCCTGGTGTTGCACGCACTTGCAGACAGCCCCTCTCTCTCTCTCCCCCTCTCTCTCTTTATAGACTAGAGAGAGAGGTGCATGGATCCATGGCAGTAACAAACCTAAAATTCAACACTTGCCCTTGCAGTGCAAAGTGATGCTGCCTCTCTCAATCCTAGGATGTACTACTCTATTCGTTCCAAAAAAGCGACTTTTTTTACTCTCAAACATCGTGTTTGACCGTTCATTTTATTCAAAAATTTTATATAGATTATAAAATAAATAAATTATTATTAAAATATCTTTAATGATAAAATTAGTTATAATAAAGTAGAAGATATTTATACAAAAAATTTGAATAAAACAAATAATCAAACAAGATCTCTAAAAATAAAAAACGACACTATTTTTGGGACGAACCGAGTACTGGCCTGATCTCTCACTCACCTAGCTAGCTCCCCCAGCTAGGCTAGGCTATCCCCTCTCTGCTACTGTGGCTGCAGGCAAACCTTCAGCTTTGGATTTTTTTTTACATCCTTGTCCTGGGCACGGTTTGGATGCTGAAATTTTTGACGAAATGTTACTGTAGCATTTTTGTTGTTATTTGACAAATAATGTCCAATTATAGGCTAATTAGGCTTAAAAAATTCGTCTCGTGGATTTCATCTAAACTATGTAATTAGTTTTATTTTTTATTTATATTTAATGCTTCATGTATATGTCCAAAGATTCGATGTGACGAAGAATCTTGAAAAATTTAGCATTTTAGAGTGGAACTAAACAGCCCCTGCTGTGGTGTGCTAGCAGCTTCGTACATCAGTCAGAGATCGAGCAACAAGAAGAGAACAATCCTACTCCCAAATATTCTTAACGCTCCCTAGCTAACTTACCGAGGGGGTTAATGGTAACTATCCAATCCAATCCCCTGCAGCTGTCAATTCAGACGACAGCAAGCCAGTTCCCTGTAGAGTGAGAAGATGCCACAGAACTACACAGTGTGGGTTAGTTTACAAATATGCATGCATGGGCACAAAAAAGGAACTACCACTAGTCATTTTATTACAGACAAAACCATGCACGAGAGACTTGCAGACAAGTGACAAATAGTACGTGAGATAGATAGAGGCTTTAGCCCTTATTTAGTTTTCACATTAAAACTTTACACCTTGTCACATCGAAGGTTTAGACACATATATAGAAT